TGGCTATATTTTTTTATTGAGTCACTGAAGAAAGCACATGACTTAATAATGACAAAATGATTTACTGTATGTTGTCTATTATCTTCTATTATATAACTTGAAGATGTAGGATGTAATTGATATAAAGATTCTAACAGAAGGACTATATATCTAGACCTTGTATTATAAATTTCAGCAAGCCAGTAGTTCAGTTACTGGCTTACAATGAGGTTAGAATCAAAAGCGAAAAGAATACAATTCACAATGCTATTTAAGATTTAATATCAACAAAAGCTCCCAAGGTCTTCTGTAATTAGAAAGCATTTGTCATCAAAATAATTCAGATTCTCTACCTTACAACTAGTGGTGAGCTAAAAAAGGTGAGAAATTTTAATAACCTTCAAGTAGGCTCGAGGCTTTAGAATATACGGTAAATAAACAAGTTTTTCTAGAAAGTTTTCATAAAGAGGAGCCAAATTCACTGGGAGTTCTTTATATTAAAGACCATGTTGGGGTTGGCTGGGAACAGAATTCATCTCAACTTATTTCAAATAATTCTTATGCCTGAGATACTACAAGAACCACTTCTCAAAACTGCATTCTGGCATCAGAAGGTAGCTGAAGCCCATGGAAGGGAGAATAAAATATTTAGACAGCTGCATTTCCAGCATTCATTTTGGAGAGTCCATTTGGGTTAGGGTCACCCCTTCATGAAAGGTTTTGTGTCCCAGCTACAGGTACACAGCAGGTCTACCCCCCCCCACCAACTCCCACCCCCAAGCCTGTAGCTTTGGTGTTTTCTTGGTGAGCCATTCTCCCATGCTGGGACTTAGTGTCATTTCTTATTTCCATTTTCACTCTCAGAGAAAACAAATGCTAACTTCCTTGGGTTCAAAGAGTGAGTCTTCCTTCCAATGGGAATGTCTTGCTTTCTCTGTGGGCTCTCTGGATACTGGCCTTGTCTGCTGTGAAGCGATTCAGCATAGTGGCAGCGACTTGAGTTGGACATAAGGGAGACAGGTGTTGAGTAAGCTTACTCTCCAGGGAGCTCGTGCAGGATGCTTGCCTCCTGATCTCAAACACCCACCTACTGCTATCCTGTTTTAGACCTCTTTGGAGCAGAGAACGATGTATTCTGCAGATGTAACTAGTACTTACTGAAACAAATAAAACAGACAGAATCACTCCAAATGCCAAAGATGCACTAATCTGTTTACACCACCCACTCCCTACTATTCTCTGAAGTGCTGTAAATATTGTGTTTTTTGTTTGGGAGCAGGGGTGAGGAGGACGGGTACTGTGATAGTTTTCTAATGAGACAAAGCAAGTGCCTGAACCTGATGTAGCTGGAAGTACAGCCCCAGGCCTGCCAGGCTCTGCACATCATAACTATATAACATCATAGTTATCCCTGGTTCCTTAAAGCCTCACAGCAATTTCCTACAATAATATTAAACTAGTAAGTATATCTAATCACTGAAGATATTTCTGCTGCATTTGATCTTCAAGTATGAGCTTTTAGGCCTGAATCTATCTTTTGATGTTAGCAAAAGAGGATAGGGTGCTTCATTATTATGTGATGTTGTTTAATCAGATTACTTATCCTAAGATTAAGAAAGCAAGTAAAATTAAACAACATAAGAAAGAAGCTGATAGCTGATGCAGAAGCTATTAAAGTTTTCTAGGATTAAATAAAGTCTCATTTCATAATTATATTTCATTTTTACATACACTTATTCTTTTGGATGCCCCATATTTTGTTTATTTCTTCTTAATATGATGAGAATAGATTTGCAATCTACACTTGTTTCTGACATCACACTATATCATAACAGAATCCACATGTGTTAAAAATAGCATTGAATTGTTGACAAAGGTAAAGTAGATACTTTTCTAAAAACAATGCTTGGGACAGGCATTTGACACAAGGGTTAAGAAACTGCATGGAACACTCACATCCCACGTCAGAGTACCTAAGTTTGAGTCCCTGCTCTGCTTCTAATGATGGCTTCCTGGGAATAAAAATCCAAGTTCAAGAAGTTGGGTCCTTGCCATCTACAGAGTAGACCTGGATTGAGTTCCTGACTTCTGGCCAGCTGTTGTAGGCATCTGAAGAATGAAACTGTGGATGTGAGATTCTCTCTCTCTCTCTCTCTCTCTCTCTATCTTTCTACCTTTCAAATTAAAAATAATTTAAATATATATAAACTAGTACTAATCCAAATAGAGATTAATGGACTGTTCAGGTTGTCTGTGGACCATAGGTGAGAAATGACTAATGCTGAAGCAGTGAGGTTTACACTGTGTCTCTGTGCTGCAATTTCAATGAAATGCCTCCTTTCATCTAGTATTTCTGTTTTTTAGGAAGCAATTTTATTTTGCCCTTGAGGAAAAAAAGATTATTCTTATTTTCATAATCTGATAAACACCCTGGGGCCTTGGGTCTGTTTCCTAATTAAACCATACTTTACAGCAAATCTAGAGCAAGACTCTGAGGGGAGAGAAACCTGCTACTTTTGACAGCCATTGTGAAAATTTCTCATTACAGGAATAAAAATTGGATTTGATTAAAACAGAACTAAATTGTGATTATATCTATCTGCCACATGATTAATAATACTGTTAACATATGGAAATATGTGATTTAAAAATAGGCCTCCACAGGAAGGAAAACAGCCCATGTGATTGAGTGAGTGGGTGAACCAAGTGGAACAACTGTAGGATTTCCCAGGAATACAGGGATATATTTTTTTAGTGTAAGTGAAAACAGAGCAATGTTTTATTGGGGCATCCCTGCTGGTTGAATTGGGTGTAAATTAACTCTCAAGGGTCTGTTGTTTCACACACACACACGTAAGTAAAGACATCAGATAGTATTTTGGTTTCATAATTTTTTTTGAGAGGTGGCCATTTGGGGAAGGAAAGTAAGTTTTGCTATTGTAACTGAAAGTGAGGAGAAACATTGGGTTGGATAGTACGGTAAGGCATATTTAAGGATGATAAAAGGCAAGTAGGCAGTTCCTTGTTTTCTAGAAGAGGCATACTGAATGCCTAAAGAGAGAAACAATGTGTGCAGAGTCACAGATGGAAGCAATTGAGAAAGATGACAGAGGCAGGGGCTTACCTAGAATTTGATGCTCTGAAGAGGAGCTATGGATTTTTCCTGTGCCTTTGGCTGCCTAGTTAACTCAGTTAACTTGAGCTTTAGTTTTTCCAGTGCAGAAGGGAGTCAATGAGTAAAATATTCAGCATTTACAACCACTTATATATTCTCAGAAAATATATTAAAGTGAGTAATATTGATATTGATACAACACATTAAAATGAGACTTTTGTAAGACAATTAAAAATATTGCAGCAATTATGGTAGAACTATGTCTTTTCCAAATAATTAAGTCAAAATTTTAGCTGTGATGTCTATTTTAGAGTCTTTATATTCAGAATGTTCTATAGTCAATACCAGACTTTTTATATTTAGCTCTATTGATCGGGCTCACTTAAATTTTCAGGATTATAAAATATCCAGTGTCAAAACATTACCCTCATCATAAAAGTTACAGTCACCTATAATTGTTAAACAATTCATTCATGTATTTTTGAAATTTTTAAGTATAAATTAGGTCAACTACTGATCATTTCTTTCATTTTCCGAGGTGAAATTCTATGATACTGAATAGTCTATTTCTCACCTCTGCCTAAGGAAAAAAAATTCTTTCTATTCCTTTAATACATTTTATTATTCTACTTTTTAGTTTGCTTTAATGGTTATAGAGAGAACGCAAACTCCCACAATCTTAGAAGAAAAAAAATTATTTCCTGATGTAAGTATGAACACAGTTGTTATTAATATAATGCTTTGGTGAAACACTACCACCTATTAAAAGTCACATGGAAAACAAGTGGAGTCCAAATGTAATGCCAGTGTTATTACGATATACAGAACAAGATTGTGCTGTGTGCACACAACACACAACTCATTTATTTCCTTTGTTTCCTCTTGATCAGTTCTATATGGTTGGTTTTATAAGGGCATGAAGGAGAAGACAAGTAAATAAAGGTGAAAGGCCAGCTCGTACCTGAAGTTTCTCCTCATCTAGACTCAATGAGGGAATATCTAAGCCAGAGTCCTCATCTCAGAATGGCTGTTTTGTCTGAATCTTAATTTTTCTTTGTCTCAATTACATGAAATTGTACCCAAAAACTAAATGAGGATGTGGGCACTTACAGTATGTATCTCTTTTAATACAAAAGTGGTTATAAACATTTCCAGTGTGAAATTCCCAAGCTAGCTATTGTATATCTGACCCTTTATGTGAATTGTGTTTCACTATATGTGTCAGGAATAAAGTTTTTAACTCAGTTGAGCAAAATCAAAGGTTTTGAAACTCTGACATCAATCATGGATCTGGGTTTTCTGCTATCTGCTTCTTTCTCTTCTGCACAGGTGTCATGTGTGTGATCATGTCATAGTGGGAACAGGAAATACTTGCCCATCACCATGGACAACCGAGAAGACAATGAGAATAGTCTTCTATGTGGGACTTCATCAGTCCCAGGGGCTAGACTCATTATGTTCTCTTGTCCTTGTGTAACCAAGACTGTTAAAAACATTTTGTTTTCCTCCATCAGTTTGGGAATATTTCAAAGACTTGCATTGAAGGGCAACAGTTGTATCAGTACCTTGGACAGTACATGGGTGTGTGTGTGTGAGAGAGAGAGAGAGAGGGAGGAGAGCTCCCAGATATGATCAGATCTGAATGAAAACAGCTGTTTCTACAACAGATTGGTTTTTCTCTGCAACAGACTTTCTCAGGGTCAATGTCTGCTTCCTTGGCTACAAAGTCAGAGGCAACCGTAGCTGGATATTTGATGTATAATAAGGGGACCTGGGTAGGGGAGGCAAGGCCTGCAAGAGAGGGGCAGTTCAATTTCACTGTTCTAGCTTTGTATATGATGTCTATGTATTTTATCCTGCGTGCGGGACCCACCTGTGAATAATCGCATCTCTATTTTATTCATAGTTCTAATGGCAAGTCTGTGTCATGGTCTGAACCAGGTGGAAGACAGGTGCCCAAGGGACAGCACATGTGGCACCGCCTCTCCGTGCACGTGAAGACCAACGAGACGGCCTGCAACCAAACGGCCGTCATCAAGCCCCTCACTAAAAGTTACCAAGGCTCCGGTAAGAGCCTGACTTTTTCAGATACCAGCACCAAGACCCTCTACAATGTTTCGGAGGAAGAGGACGCCCAGCCAGTTCGCTTCAGTCCTCCCAGCAGCCCTTCCATGGTGGTGCACCGACGCGTGCCTCCTGCCGCGACCACCGCACCTCTGCCGCCCCCCGTGACCACCGATGAGACCCCTCTCTTCCTGGCGGACCCTGCCATCCCCAAGGCCTTGGCCCCTCCACTCCAGCAGCCGGCACCACCACCGCAGCCACAGCAGCCGCTGTTGCAGCAGCAGAAGTCTCTGATGGATCAGCTGCAGGGAGTGATCAACAACTTCAGTCCCGGGCTCCCGGATTTCCACGCGGTGCTGCCTGGCCCCGGGGGCCAAGGCCCAGGGCTGCGGTCTCTGTACCCTCCCCCGCCGCCGCCGCAGCACCTGCAGATGCTGCCGCTGCAGCTGAGCGCTTTCGAGGAGGAGCCCGTGTCCTCCCCAGCGGAGGATGAGGATGACAGCGAGAGGTTTAAGCTCCTCCAGGAGTATGTGTACGAGAGGGAGGGGAACACTGAGGAGGACGAGCTGGAGGAGGAAGATGAGGAACTGCCGGCGGCGGCGGCGGCGACAAGCAAGGTGACTCCGGAGGATTCGCCAGCCCTGACGCCCCCGTCTCCTTTCCGAGACTCGGTGGCCTCCGGCAGCTCGGTGCCCAGCTCCCCCGTGTCGGAGTCGGTGCTGTGCACCCCGCCCAACGTGAGCTATGCCTCTGTCATCCTGAGGGACTACAAGCAAAGCTCTTCCACCCTGTAGGGAGAAGGTGTCCACGTGCAAAAGCCAAACAAGCCCGAGAGCGCCAACCCCTCCAGAGATGCGCCAAGAGCTGGGAGAAGCTTGGGGGCAGGGGCTGAGTCGCAGCAAGGGAACAGAGTTCTGTTGCTGCTGCTGCTGCCTTAGGGAAGGAGAGAGGGAAAGACACCAAGCAAACAGTGATCCAGGCCAGGATTCTGATTCTTGAATTATTCAAAAGCCTTCTCTGGAAAGAAAGGGATTCTGACAAAGCACAATTCCATATGGTATGTAACTTTTCTTGCAAAAATAAATAAATAAATAAATAAAATAGAAATAAAATCAACAAAAAATTTCCTCTTTAGCACAAGTGTGTGTAGATACTTAGCCTACACATACTTGGCCAAGCTTGTGAAGGAACAGCGCATGTGGAAGTGCCAGTTCAATCATTAGCTTGTCTCGTGACATTCGCAGTGAGCATGGTGGAGCCAGACAGAGCAGGTGAAGAAAGGAGAGGAGGGCTCCCATGATGGGACCAGCCAGGGATAATGGGACAGCAGCTCCTGACTCATAAGCCCATCTCCTGCAGACTCCAAGTCTTCAGAGGACCCAAGTCTTCAGGCTCTCCTGGGAGCCTCTCTCCACCCTTGCTCCCTAGCCAGTGCCAGCCTTGCTATGGCACTGAAGAAAGGTGCATGGGCACTCTGCAGCTTGCAGTGTCCCTCTATTTAGGAAAACAGGAATAAGAGCTTAATCATCACCCATAAGTGCTTCATCGGGATTCCTATGGGATAAAAGAAAGAAGCAAGACAATACTAAGCATGGGACTTTGAATAAAATCCATACAACCAGCTTCCCATATTCCATACTGGCTTCTTGGTGATTTTGGGAAAAGGTCAGAATAAGAGATTGCTTTAAGAGTAGCAAAAGACTTTTGGTGGCTTAATTTGCATTTGTGCCAAGCAGGCTCTCCATTACTATTCAATTAAACAGGACAAATCATGTGGCAAAAATGTTACCTTCCATTTACTGTAGCAAATAATACTTACCAGTTGAACTTCTAAGATTCAGCATATGTACAATGTGGTGCCATTGTTTCTCCTATGTACTACAGAAACAAATCCATCCTTGAGCCTAATGGTCTACTCATAACTATTACTGGGTTAAATGACAAATAATCCTTTCCTATTGTCACTGAAGTCCATATACCTAGAGAGTGAATGTGACCTTGTGTCCTTACTGTATACATGTGATTATAAAATTTGTGCAATGTAATGTCAGCCTAGCTGCAGCTACAATATTGTCTTTTGGATATAGTATAGATATTTTTTATGTTCCAATAAAGTTTTCTATATCATTGTCACCATTATCTACAGAAACTCTTTGAAGGCTTGAGTATTGCAGTCCAGTGCTTTTCATATGCAATTCAGGTGGCAATTTCTCTCCTGGGAGGGACCTTATTTTTCTGCTATTTTCTGATGTGGAAATATATTATTAATGAAGTGGTTTGAAAATTTGTTATATTGAAAGTTCATACAATTGAGGGTGACAATAAAAGGTACATTTTATAAACTTGCAGACATAATTATTAAAGCATAGGTTGAAAAGATAGTATTCAGATTATTCCAGGTTATTTTAGTTTTTTTAAGGATTTTGCACAGTTACTTGAGCTTTATGTACTTGTAGTAAACAAAAACATCTAAGTGTGGTCGTAATTTCTCAAATATGTATTTATTGGTCACATTTTTGTTCTTTAATTTATATTTTCATGTAGTTTTATTCCTGCATTTATACTCTCATAAATTTTCTTCATATTTTGTTATTTGCTATTGCATAATATTCATGTTCTTGTAATCCAATAGTTCCACCTTTACCCCAATAAAAAGAAATTTATTGCTGTTTTGATTTCTAATATTATTTGTGAAATGAATCTACCCCTTAAATATCTTTGTTTATGCTTTATGTTCCATCTTATTTTAATATGCATCCTTTATGTGGAAGCTGCTGATTTCTCAGTGAAAAATCATCTTCGAATCTTCAAATATCCACTCTTCCATCATTTGTTCAGAATTTAACATCAACTCCTCTGTTGGAGGCTTGTGTTTCTTATGTGCTACCATATTCTACTGCCAAGTATAGTCAGTTCCATATCGAGATTAAATGCCTTCCTTTAAAAATTATTTTTAAAACACCTTTAATGAAAAACCTATGACTGAAATATAGATTTCAGTTCCATGTTTTCATTATAATGAAGCAGAATAAGGAAAATTGACAGTTCCAGTATCTAATAGATGAATTCTTACTAATTGGAAAATCAGCAAGGGATAGCATATTGTCTATTATTAGTGAACCATTTTTCATCATAATGAAATAACCACTAACATATATCCTTAATGTTGAAGGACTTGTGCATTCAGATTTTTTTTTTTATGTTTTTTTTTTTTTTTTTTTGACAGGCAGAGTGGACAGTGAGAGAGAGAGACAGAGAGAGAAAGGTCTTCCTTTGCCGTTGGTTCACCCTCCAATGGCCGCCGCTGCAGCCGGCGCACCGCGCTGATCCTGGCAGGAGCCAGGAGCCAGGTGCTTTTCCTGGTCTCCCATGGGGTGCAGGGCCCAAGCACCTGGGCCATCCTCCACTGCACTCCCTGGCCATAGCAGAGAGCTGGCCTGGAAGAGGGGCAACCGGGACAGAATCCGGCGCCCCAACCGGGACTAGAACCCGGTGTGCCGGCGCCGCAAGGTGGAGGATTAGCCTATTGAGCCACGGCGCCGGCTTCAGATTTTTTTTTAAAGTTAGAGTAGCTAAGGAAAACTGCTTTTCAAATTACGTCACATGGAAGTGTGCTCTGAGGTTTTGTTCTGAGACTTTTGGTGAATAAATTCAACACCTATCACATATTACTCTGAATACCTACTACTATTATGATTACAAGTTTTCCTGAATAAATAGAATATTAGATCTTCTATTGTAATTGTTCAAAATTGGAGCTATATACATTCAAACCCTATCTTCAAATGGCAGAAACTTGTCACCTTAATGTATGTGCTTATAAAAGTTGTTAGCTTCTTGTAAAAGTGTTTTCCTTTGGCTTATTACTGCTTTTGTCAAATAATCTTGATAATGCTGTATAATAAATTTTTTGTATTTAATGACTGTGTATGTTACATCTCTGTAAAAGTTATCATAATAGAAATAGACCCATGTTAGAAATTATTCCAATGATTTGACTCTGCTTGGAACATGTATTTTTGGTAAAAGTTGGAGAATATCACAAAAGGTCTGTATATCAGGTAGGTTACAGAGTAAAATTTGATTATGAGAAAAGTGGTATTTCAACCACACTAATTTTTAGTGAGATTGACAATTGAAATTTCTAATTCCCAGGACAGACATTGTCATTCATTTTTTGATAGAGTCTGTGCAGCTTAACAAACTCCTAGTTCTCCTACAGGGCTCTGAAGACAGAGGCATTTCAGAGTCCAACTTGTGTTTTGTTCTTGTTCTACAATGCCTCTCTGTACTTGGCTTACCACAGGGGAACCTGGTTTCCCACATTGTCGTGTCATGCTTACCCCAAGTTTTGTTCCCCTACATTTTGATGAGACTTCACCAGCCCCTGAAGAGTGTCTCTGTTCACAATTTCAACTATGAGTTTCCTGCAAAGTATGGCATTTTCCAGGGATCACTCAAACAGAGAACATGGGGGCATGAGGGCCACCCCCATGAAATTATAATGTTTGGATATAGAAGGAATAATTCCCATACAAGAGGGTTGATGCTGAAGGAATTAGCAGCAACCAAGGGCTCTTCAGTGTGTCTCGAAAACAGAATAAGAGATCACAGAATGGGAGCTGGATGCCTCAGGGGGAAAAATCATAGGATTATAGATGAGAAATAATGAGAAAAAGATGAATGAAGAAAAGTGGTAGAAAATGCAAGGGGAAATGTTTACGATGTGTAATTTGAAGATACAGCCAAACATCATGGCAGGTCACAAGAACCTGCACTTGAGAAGGGCCCAGAAGTTTCACCTTAAGGAAGATATTTGGAAGGGTAGCTTTGGGGTCCTGATAGTGTAGATTCTGTATGGGCACTGTCCCCACCTGGGAAGGAATGAGAGAGAAGGGGAGCGACATTTTTATGAACCTGCTCCATGCTGGACACTGTGCTGGATCCCTAGCATTCTTTCCAGGACTGCTGCCACATTGGTACTTCAGGAAACTAACATGATTTGTCCCAGATTTCTCAGTGAGGAGCTGGTCCAACAGGAAATAGGTCCCAATCCTTAGCCAGTGCACTGCCTCTGAATTCATGTTCTTCTCCAGCACCCAAAGCAGTATGCAGGAGTCAGCTCCTTTTTAATTAGGATCAATTTCTCTTCCTAATTTGTGAGCTCTCTTGGGAAAGCAGATCTTCAGTATAGCTGTGGTGAGAAAGTAGTAACAGTAAACGAAAGTTATAACACCATAGTTTTCCTAGTTCAGCTGACTGAAGATATATTCCTGGATCCTTGTGTGGGTCCAGACAAGTGTTTCCACCTACTGATCCTGACTCTGCCAGCTGGAACAACACATGCTTTCATAATGAAAAACAAGCTCTCTCCTTGGCATCAGAAATAGTTGTCCCACTGGGCAGCAGGCCTCCTTTCCTGCAGAAGAAGGCGCGATATTCAATGTTCACTGAACCCAACCAGAGTCTGGCAAGGATGGAGATCTAAGAGACAGCATCTCCTGTAGGAAAACTGCAAGAAAGACATCAACTGCATAACTGCGGTGTCCAAATGAGAACAACATAAATCACCTGAAAAGCAGAGGCCTGAGGGTCCCTCCGAATGGAAATACTTTTCTGAAGACAAAGTGAAAAGAACAACAACAATAAAAAAAAAAAAAAACAGTTACTCTGGTTGGGGGAACCCATAGGAAAAGAACATAGTTAGGGAGCTGGTTATCATTAACACCATTAACTGGAAACTGGCTTGATTTTCTTGGGAGGAGTTTGGGGAAGGAAGACCTAAGTTCACAAAACAAGAGAAAAGAAGCATAAGCATAAGGAAAACAAAAACTGAAAGGGAAAATAATGGTAGAATATTGGAGCTGGAAGTGAATTTAGAAGTAATTTAAAGTAAGCTCTCACCCTGCATGGGACTCCATTCTCCTATTTCTTGTCTATCTTCCTAGAAGGCAAGAAGTCATGGGAGACTAGGGTAGACTAGATATAGCACTTATTGCTTGTAGTTGCTGTGCCAATGGAGAAAGCAAAGAACGCTGAATAGTGAAGGGGCAAATCTGAATCTGCATTACCAATCCATATAGCTCTCTAGGGAACATAGGTCAGGAACAGACCCAGAATAAAGTTACTGATTGTAGGAGCCAAGATAGGAAAAAGCAAGGACTAGCAAGGTAAGCAACATGAGGGTAGTCTGGCAAAGTTGCAAAGCCAAAATACTGGTGACCAAAATGAGCCGCTGGCAAGAACCACAGAGGATTACCTACATGACCGAGGGTCCTTTAAAGTGATAAGATGGATTTAGGTGATTTTTGTATCTGCTTAAGTATTTCCAGGGACTAGATCCTTGCATTTGATAAGCAAAAGCTGTTAACAGAAAAAAAAAATTCTTCATTTTCCTGAACAAATTTGCCTTTCTCTAACTTTTCCCTGAGAATCTTCTCTGCAAAAAGATTGAACAAATTTAGTCTGCAGTGTGCATGACTTCCCTTCAGCAACTTCAATATAGTGATTATATCATTCTTTTGTGGTTCATTTTCCATGCCAAATAGCTTCACTTCCTTTAAGTGTTATCTTTGTTATTATGTTCCTAAATCCCTAGTCAGGCCATGATCATAAGCCAATTTTGGAATATCTTTTTTTACAAAAGCTTACATCTGGAACTAGATATAATACCATAAATACACGTTCATTCCCTTTAAACATCCTACTATTTCTCCTTAACATTATGTCAACTTTGTTAGCAGTTTTGCCTCATTATCAGCTCCTGCATAGTTCAGGGCCAGCTAAAAGTCTTTAGGCCATTTTTATAAGAACTGTAGGAAATGGATACGAATGTAAATTTTTCTTAAGTTGGGTTTCTCCAGAAACAGACTCTGAGAAGAGGCTGTGAGTGCAAGTGCTGTGCTGAAGAAATGATTCCTGAAAATTTTGGTAAGAAAGGGGATGGGGAGGCAATGACCAATATGCAGCCAATGAAGAGTTCATTCCCACAGAGGTCAACACTCTAGGAAACAGCCGAGTTCTACTGAGAACTCTGTGAGTGAGAGATAACATAGCTAGTAATTGTTCCCATTCTCCATGGGGTAGGGAATTGAGCATTTATCCACCCTTTGTTTTTTTTTTTTAAGATTTACTTGTGCTTATCTGAAAGACAGAGTTACAGAGAGAGGTAGAAACAGAGAGAGAGAGGTCTACCATCCACTGGTTCACTCCCCAGATGGCCGCAACAGCCAGAGCTGCGCTGATCTGAAGCCAGGAGCCGGGAGCTTCTTCTAGGTCTCCAATGTGGATGCAGGGGCCCAAGGACTTGGGCCATCTTCTACTGCTTTCCCAGGCCATAGCAGAGAGCTGGATCAGAAGAGGAGCAGCTGGGACTAGAACCGGCGCTCATATGGGGTACCGGTGCTTCAGTCCAGGGCTTTAACCCACTGTGCCAAAGCACTGTCGTATCCACCCTTTCATGTCAGTCATGGTTGAGGTCTGCTAGAAAGGAGAGTGAGTATGAATTCCTAATAACCCCTAGAGTGTCACATGTGCAGGCTTGGGTCTCCAGAGAGAAGCCTTAGGCAAAGAGTCCTAGACACCAAAGTTACAGATGTTGACACTGGGAAGGTGAGCACCAAGGAGATGTGCACAGGGGACTAGCTGTATCTCTACTGATATGATTATGGAGATTAAATATATGATAGCTAGATAGGTGATAGATAAATGAATAGGTATAGGCAGATGATAGATAGGTGGCAGATAGCTGCATAGATAGATTAATACATAAAAAACAGAGAAGATATACTTGTGCATTCAGATGTCCATACCAGTACAGATCTGTGGAAACAAAGAGCCACAGAAGGAACAGATAAAGTGTACTAAAGTGTTTTCAGTGAGAGCAAGCACTTCCAGAATCACTCAAATAGACTATTGTTGCCTCAAAACAAGAGAAAATCAAAGTAAAGCATTCATTTATTTCTCCACCTAATTTTATTTATGAAAAGGGGGAAATATATTTCATGTATACAGTTTTAAGAGCATAATGACATTCTCCACCCTACTCCCCCGCTCTCCCTCACTCCCACAATTGCTCTTCTATACTTCCTTATTTTTCTTTTAATTTTTGCAATGGCATACTTTCATTTTACTTTATAATCACAAACTTATCTCTCAACTAAATAAAGAATTCAACAAGTAGTAGGTAGAAAAACCACTGTTCCTCAAGAGTATAGACAAGCACTATGAACAATAATCAAATCTCAAACTATCAATTTTGCTTATATACATTATATCTTCTGTACTCTGTATATTAGTTACCACAAATCAGTGAAGACATATGATATTTTTCTTTTGGGGACTGGCTAATTTCACTAAGATAATGGCCTCAATTTGCATCCAGTTTGTTGCAAAAGATAGGATTTCATTCCTTTTTTGTGATGAGTAGTACTCCATAACATATATATATATATATATATATATATATATATATATAAAACAATTTCTTTATCCAGTCATCAGTTCATAGATACCCGAGTTGATTCCATATGTTAGCTATTGTCAGTTGAGATGC